CCGGGACAATCGTGGCAATTATGGGCTGGTGGTGGTGGTTTAGGTGGCCTGAACACTAAATCCAATAGTGGTTCTTCTAATCAACTTCCAAAATCTAAAATTTTGGAAAAATTTAGGGGTTTGGGTATGTATCAATTTAAAACAATAGACGGCTTTTGTTGTTATCTTAATATTCACTTTATATGTATGTCATTAAGAAGTGTCATCATAAAATTTTATGATTTATACAAGATTCTTAAAAAAAAAAAAAAAAAAAAAAAAAAAAAAAAGGGAAAAAAGGGAAAGAAAGAAAAGAAAGAGCGGTTCGAAAATATTATGTTATATACTACAAAATTGTGTTGTTACTGAATTTAGTAATTCATTTAAGTTAAATCTAAACTTCATAACAACTTCCCGAGTTTCCATATTTATTAATTCTACATGTTTTTAATCTGAACTGAATATAAAACCAAAATATAACAATTTCTAACAAAGATTTTATTTTATTTACCTTCGATTCAAATGGGTTTTTTACGTTATTTTCTAATGCATTAGATGCGGATGATGATTTTCTACGCGAACATCCTTTGGATCAAAGTTTAGAACCAGAGAGTCATTCAACATTTGGAGTACAACAAGATTTTCCCAATGAACCTAGTATGCAATATGAACAATTCGGTGCCCACAGTAGCAGCAGTGCTGCGTCGCTTTGGCGGAACGAATTGGTATCTCCACCACCTCAAGGAATAGGAGGAATTAATAATGATCCACTTTCATCGAATAAACGGAAAAATTTGGTAGATATGATTCAAGAGGACTTCCCAAGAACACCTTCTCCTATGTACGCTTTAAGACAAGCCCAAGCACGAGAACGTCAAGCTGCCGCACTTGCTGAAGCTAATGTTACTTCATCAAATGTAACAGGTGATATGGGAAATGATGCATTTGATGTTCATGACCTGAGAGCTGCCCTTGAATTTGATGATCCACTTGGTCACTCGAATCATTATTCAAATGCTTTGCGTGTATCACAAAGTGATGATGATCATATGAATTCTGTTGTGAATGCCGCGTTAGATGAAGATTATGTTCATCGAATAGGAGCTTATTCAAGAGGAACTTCGCCACCATCTCTCCGCGCGAAATTGTCTCCGCCGCCTCGTGCTGCATCTACACCACCTGCTCAAAATCATTTCCGTAATCACAGCCTTAATTTTCCACAAGAATTCCATGGTGATTTATCTCATAATGAGCTTTTCTATAATCTAAAGAATTTGGAGGGAACTGTAAGTATTATTTTTTATTTTAAAAAATATTCTTATGCAAAATCAGTTTAAAGTTTATAATAACAATACTTTTCCCCTCCCTTAATATTTAGGATGAATATACCGACAATCTTCAGCAAGCTCACCTTCTACGTCAACAACAACTAAAACAACAACAACGTTTAAAGTTGCAACATTCGCAATACAATTCTTTGTTTAACGATAGCCCCGCTTCAAGTGGATATTCTCAATACGGACTTGGTAATCTTTTTTAAAAAAATTTAATAAAATTTGTATTCTCATACATATATATAATTTTTTTTTTATTTTATAAAAAAAAAGATCCTTATAGCTCTGTATGGGATGCACGCGACGAGGCTGTAATCAGTCGAAACCTTCTTTCAGCTGATTTAGCATATGGACGTAATAATTCTTTGAGTGGTTTAAGCTCAGGGCGAGGATCTATTGATTATCAAAAGGCATTCCAACAGCAGTCATTAAGTTCAATTGGTGGCAGTCGATCCGAACAATTATTATCATCCGAATATGGTACTGCAAAAACTGGCCCATATTATAACTCATCTAATCTTAGCAGTGCTAGTGGTTTAAGTTTAACTGGTAATTCTCTTGCTCAAACTCGCGCAAGCCTTGCCGAGAAAAATTTACGGATACAATCTCAACAATTATTACTTCAACAGCAACAACTAAAGCAACAACAGATGATAATTGCTAGAGAACAATTGTTAAGACATCATCATTCTGCTGAATATTTGAATGGTATCGGAGGGTATGGTGGTATTTCTAGTGGACGTCGTAGTCATGATTTAAGTTCTAGCATTTCAGATCCTGGTCATGGTATGAGAAGTGCTTTATTAGAGGAATTTAGAAATAACAAGAATAAGAAATATGAACTTAGGGTAAATAATTATCAATATAAAGTTAGTTCTTTTTTGTATTAAGAAAAAATTTGATTAACTTTATAAATCTTTATATCTAGGACATTGTTGGTAATATTGTTGAGTTCAGTGGAGATCAACATGGATCACGATTTATTCAACAAAAATTAGAAACTGCAAATAGCGAGGAAAAACAATTAGTCTTCGACGAAATTCTTCCTAACGCTTTACAATTGATGACCGATGTTTTTGGCAATTATGTTATTCAAAAATTCTTTGAACACGGAAATCAAGTGCAAAAGACAATTTTGGCTAAACAAATGGAGGGACATGTTTTGTCTTTAGCATTACAGATGTATGGATGTCGTGTTGTTCAAAAGGTATTTAATCACTTTAATAAAAAAAAAATCTATATATATCTTTTTTATTTGTTTGTATGTATTAAATTTAAAAAATTTTTTTTTTTTTTTTAGGCTCTTGAGCATGTTCTTACCGAACAACAAGCTACGTTGGTTAAGGAACTTGATGGGAATGTACTTAAATGTGTCAAGGATCAAAATGGAAATCACGTCATTCAAAAAGCTATCGAACGTGTCCCAGCTGAACATATTCAGTTCATCATTAATGCTTTTCATGGTCAAGTCTATAGCCTTGCCACACATCCTTATGGCTGCCGTGTAATTCAGCGTATGTTTGAGCATTGCACTGACGAACAAACGGTGAGAATAATTTATTGTAGTTTCATACTTTCATTGTAATCATGATTTCTTATTTCAAAAACTCAACTTTTAAATTTGTTATTATAGAAACCACTTTTAGAAGAACTTCATCGATATACTCAGAATTTAGTCCAAGACCAATACGGTAATTATGTTATTCAACATGTTTTGGAACGTGGAAAGGCAGCCGATAAATCAATGGTTGTAGCTAAAGTACGGGGCAATGTCTTGCAAATGTCGAAACATAAATTTGCAAGTAACGTTGTAGAAAAATGTGTCGCTTACGGTAGTAAACGAGATCGCCAATTATTGATTGAAGAGGTCATTATGACCAAGCCTGACGGGTACGTGTTTTTTGTAATGTTTTGATTCTAGTCAACTTATGAACTAAATTTAATTAACGCCCACTTTTTGTTTTCCTAAAAAATTTTTTAAAAAAAATGAATAGGACTTCACCATTGATTTCAATGATGAAAGATCAATATGCTAATTATGTGGTTCAAAAGATGCTTGATGTTGTTGATGGTGACCAACGAGATTTATTGGTCGCCAAAATCAAGCCACATTTACAGTCATTGAAGAAATATACATATGGAAAGCATCTTATTTCGAGTAAGTTAACGTTACCGTTTACTAACTTATGAAGTTGTCCTACCTCTCCGAAAAGAAAAAATTAGGGTTCCCTTTTTTTTCTTATTCAGTTTTGTTATCATTCGTTAAATGCGTATTTGAACAGAGGTTGAAAAGCTTATGATCCTCACAGAAAATCAGAAAAATCAAAACGGCGGTCTCTCCATTGACGGAATTTCAAGTACCGGTCTCGTATCACCTTCTAGTTCAACTACACCTCTCGGTACTGGTAATAATACCCCAGTTATGTCATCACCGGCTATTGGACCCGATACCAACATACATCCTAGCACCAGTCCTCACATGTCCGAACAAATCTAAGATATCCAAAATTGCCGGTTGTATGATAAAAGAATTCGGTGAATTTTGTTTATATAATTACTTTTTTTGTAGGGTCAAAAGAATCCCAACGTTGTTATATATAATTTCAATTTCAATATATATATATATATATATATATCTTAGTAGGATTTTATTTTTATTTTTTGGGATTTATGATTCCATTTTAAAAAATTTTTTATTTTATTTTATTTTATTTTTTTTTGCTTTTATATTTGCATGAACTATATACTTTATAAACTAATCTTTTCTTGATGATAAATACACAAGTTGTTTGTATATAACTTGTAAGAATGTTTGTCATCATCATTATATAAAAATTCTCAATATTACCCTTTTTCCTTTTCTGAACATATTTTTTTGATCTTTACCCTTTTTTATTGTACATGGTTGTCCCATATAGTACTTAAAAATTTATTATAAACTTATACATATATTGTATATTCCTCCCCTTTTTCCTGTCATAGTATACCCTTTCTTTTGTTTTAAAAAAATTTATATACTCTTTATTTCTTCTTGTACGTACTATTTTTTTTCTTATTTTGTTTGAAATGAAAAAATGAATTATTATATATATTATATATATATTTAATTATATGAATGACATTTTATAAATAATTTATTAATTCATCCTATTTTTATTTTTCAAAGGAAGAGGACATTATTATTATAAACGAATGTTATTATGGTTGTTATTTTAATTACAGTATTTATTTTTTGATGATATATGAAAAGTTTGTTGTTATACATATCTAAAGAATTTATAAAAAATGCGTTGATGCAATATACAAATTAATTTTAATTCTTAATTTAATAGAGGGTTTCAATATCGCGGTGATATTGTTAATCCTGGTCAAACAAAAATTTAGTTAACCGTAGTAATTTATTTTGTTAATAAAGTTTCTATTATAGTTAGTAAGTGTACACAAATATCAAATAAAAAAAAATTTACGTATCAAACGCCAAAACCTTTTTTATATATATATATATATATAACAACAAATCTTTTTGATTGTTATTTAAATAAAAAAAAATTTTCTTTTTTAATTTTTATTTTTTCTTTTTCTTTTTCTTTTTCAGGAAAAAAATATATATATATATAAATAAATTTCTCAAAATTGTTTTGCGAATTAACCATCTCGTTGCTTCACATCCCTTTAATATTTTTTTCTTTAAGCACCAACATAACACATGTTTAGAGCATGAATTTCTTTAGCTAACCAGACCCAATTAATATTCATCCTTCCGGTTAATTTTTGCTCGTATTGTAATAATTCATACATAAACTTCAGGTTAGGTTGAATAATAACATTAAGTCTTCTAGCTCTGACATATAAATATGATGATACCAACGATCTGCCAAGATGTTTCATAATATATGCAATCGTTATAGTAGCAGATCTAGATACTCCTACTCGGCAATGAATTAATATACTACCATTCGATCGTCGAGCATTTTCTATATATAATATATATATGAAAAGAAAGTTGTTAGTTGTCGACTATTTCTAATCGCTACCGATTCTTTTCATCATTTACCCACTTACCGATGAAATTGACACAAGAATCCAAATGGTTCCATAAACTATCAATTCCATCATCATATAAATTGTCTAAATATTGTACTTCAAATTCTTTTCTATCCAATTTAGAATCTTCACCAACAGATAAGACATGGGTGATTCCAAGGGCCTTTAACATACCGTCATTACACGCATGATTTAAATTACCAAGGTACAAAAATGGAAGAATTCGGCTAGGAAAACTTCCTTCAAAAAATGGTGAAAAAAACCATGGAAATTTTTCAATATTTTCAATATCTTTTTTTTCATCTTGTAATGATGGTGGTGATGATGAAGGTGGTGATGATGATGTAGATTGTTGTGAGGAGGGTGATGGTGATAAAGAGGATTGTGGCGATGGTGATGACGGTGATGGTGGAGATGATGATGATGATGATGATGAATGTTGCTGCTTCTCCAACATTTTCCTTTCAAATATGCGTTTCTCTATGGCTAATAATGTTGTCACATCATTTGGATATACAAAAAAACTTCTTGTCTTTTGTAATCTAAGATATGCTTGTGGTAATTTGAGATTTTCATTAAACATTAAATAAGTTAATGAAAGTAAAGAAGTTTCCGTATATCCATCTGCACAGTGAATTAATATTTTATGGTCAAATTTATTTGCTTGCGTTGAAATAAATTCACACAAATCTATCAACCTCGTCGCTATTGCATCAAACGCTGTTGTACTATTATTATTATTATTATTACATCCTACTCCCGATGATATACAATCAATATGAATAATTTCATCAATTGATGTTCGTCTACACGTTGATAAACTTGCAAGTTGTTCCGTAGCAAGTTTTAATGTGGTTTGATCTGCCATTTCCGCAAGGTCATGTGATTCTATACAAATACTAAATTGACGCGGATTATCATCTATTAATGAAATTGCTGAATCTGCCGGGTCCATGTCACTTGATACTGGAACATCTTGAGTATTCCCTAGCTAAAAATCCCGTAATCCAGAAAAAAAGTTTTTGATTTTTTTTTTTTTTTTTTAGAATTATTATTTGTATTAGTTAAATTTCTTTTTTCTTTCAAAACAAAATAAAAATAAAATAAATATATATACATATATGTATATACATGGTCTTTTTTAAAACAAACAAAAAAAATATATATATATGTGTTTTATCAATGTATTATTTACCCAAACGTTATGTGAAATCTCAGATGCTGCAGTTAATAATCTCATTTCTTCTCTTTCTTTTTCCAAAAAATTAACCTTATTACGTGTGATGCCGTGTGAATCTAACGCAACAAGTTCCGGAAATTCTTTTTCAAAGAATGAAAATGGATCTAATAAAAGATTTTGATTTGAATGATCGATACCGATGTTGATCCGATAAAGATAAGGGATTCTATTTTTGTTTGATAAATACTCACCCAATATGACAAAAACTTCATAATCTATGCCATTTGTACTATTTTCCCGTAATGCTTGCTGAGCCCACGCGGCTTGTTTAGCAATCTCCAATACGGTGTCATTTAAGCCATTTTCACCATAAACGACAATATCTGATAAAGTAACGTATTTAGATACTTGGATTTTAAAATTACGTAAATTTACATTAACTCCTTCCCCATCATTCACTTTTAAGAAACCTCTACGTCCATGACGAGAATCATCACCATCATTTGGAAGAGGATTAAAAATATCAGACGGGTAAACAGAACCAACTAGTAAGGATTTTGACGTTTCTTCGGCCTGTACTACCGTCACACCACGATGCAGAGGCATGAGACATTCTTGAATCCCAAAAAAATTGTTTTGAACCAGATTTGTTCCATCAACACCATGTAACCACGGAAATAAAGTGTCGTTAGGGAGTGCTGTACTGTGGTAGGCTTCATGAATAAGATAATATTGCGAGCCACTTAAAGCTCTGATTGGAGGATCTTCACAGACGATAGGAAACACGTCATATAAAGAAGGTGAAGGAGACCTCACTATTACAGGTGAAGACGACGACGGTGATAAAGGCGAAGAAGGGGGGGTGAAAGGAGACGTTGCTGGCTGTTGTTGCTGTTCTACTGCTGCCATTGTATTACCGTAAGTTTGAGTAAAATTTTTTCGTTTATTTATTTTCTCGAGATAAATAAATAATTTCGTACAAAAAATTATTTTTTTTTTCTCGTCAACAAAAGATATTAAAAAAGTGTCGAAAGTAGGAGATTGTTTTTTTTTAAAAAAAAAAAAAAAATAAATAAATAATATAATATAAAAATAAAAAAAAATTCTAAACTTTAAAGGGTGTGACCAAAAAAATATATAATCTGTCAAGGTGATAATAAAAATTTCGAGAGTAGGCAAGTTTGTTGAACACTGAGAGCGGCTAACTCGTGAGCATTCGATCGCCTAAATAGGTAATAGTAAACTTTCATTGCATTAAACAGCAGCCTCAATCTTTTCTATTATTGTCCTGGTACGGATCTTGTGATGAATTTTGTACCTCTTAAATTATTTATTGACTAAATATTGATCTGACATATACAGCTTAGCAGAACCTTTTTTTTTTTTGGTCCCTTAACTTTTTTTTTTTTTAATTCGTTGATATGCACTTATGATGAACATAATTTCCTAAAGAGATAATAAACTTTATATTTTCGTGAAACAAACAAAATATTCAGTCTTCTAAAATAAATCTTTTACCAAAATACCATATATGATTATAAAAAAAGATTGAGTAATCATAAATTAGTTGTGATACCAATTATTACAATTGGAGAAAGGTTTTTGGTTCAATGCGTTCGGATCAATTGGGTCGTGATGAATCCAAAATGTGGGTATTTTTTTTTTTTTTGATCTGTGATTTAAACCTTTTACTCTTACCTTTAAGCGGTTCTTCTAACTAAACTCGGAAACAGACGTCATATTGTATAATCACTATCCCACAAATAATTGGTGAAACCAACATACGATCGATCTTATTTTACGGAATATCAAATTTAGAACATAAATGATTCATTATCGATTTATGTTTTGATCTAAAAGAATTTTCCATTGGTACCTTCTAATTTTCATAAACCATTAATTGCTTATCTGAGATTTGGAACTTGATCCCGATTCTGGAATCAATGATGTTCAATTCCTGCTTGTTCTTATCAATAAATTGCTATCTATGAGATTTGTCAACCGCGGAAAACTTTTTAAAATTTGGCAAGGCTGAAATTTTTTTTTGAATATCTTGACTAAAACGAAGTCCTTTATTAACAAATTAACACGAGGATCTGTCACATGACTTTCAGATTACGTAATAGAAAATTATTCCAGTAAAAAAAAAATTTTTTTTTTTTGTAACATGTTGAATAAGGTTTGGAAATAATTTATTACATAATGTTCTAATGTAAGGGATACCTGACGTTTGTTTGTCAATCGTGTGATTTATCAGGGGAAGTATTACAATCGTGTAATTTTATTGGGCGTTAATAAGATTTAGGGTTTCACATTTTTACACCACTTAACTGCTATTGGTGTGAACACCTTTTTGTTTTCTCTTACTCCCTACATGATTTACTTCTACCATATAAACTGTTTACCATGATGTTGGTTACAAAAGTGGAAAACTTGGGACATAATTTAAATATTCCTGTTTTTTAAAATTATTTTTTTTAGTTAATTAAATTTACTGGACTAAAGCCTTTTATTAAATTTTTAATATTAATCATTAAATAATAAAAGTACGTATGTGATTAGATATCAGTACCATAATATCGATCTACCAAATAAATCAATTATAAGTAGTCGTTTAAATAATAAAGAATGAAGTGAATTTTCTCCCGAATAATTGCTTACCACCAAAATTACCCATTCCGGGTTCAATAAATAACGTTTCGTCATTAATCTTTGGATCGATCATTGACGTACATATTTTAACTTTTGGAAACGCATTAGATATTACGTGAAGTCCTATCGAATAACTTGGATTTAATTAAAGATATATATGTATATTTTTTAACCAAAATAATTTACCTAATGGAGTTGCAAGGAAAGTCAAGAACATTATCCTATCCTCAGGTACATTATGATCCAATAATACCCTTATGGCCATAAGTGCAGCCGCTCCTGTTGCTATCTGTGCATCCTAATTCAATTCAAGACGATTCGAACCTATTGAATCCATTGAAGATTAACAGATCAAAAAGTACTTTTGCATCACTTACCATGAGCAATACATAACATTCATGAACATTGTTAGGAAGGTTAATAAAATGTAACTATAAACGTAAGAAGATTATTAATTATAATACTTATTATAATGATAACATGTCATGAATTATTTTTTTTTTTTTTTTTACCGATGGTTCTCCAGTTTTAGGACGAGATTGGATCAAGATTTTTCCAATCAAAGCGTCCTTAACAACTCTTCTTAACCCAGTTTCCATTGTACCTCCCGCGCGTAGAATAGATACTCCACAAATCTAAAAGACAAAAGGATAAGATAAAATAAAATAAAATAAATAAAATGTCAAAAGTACCCACAACATCTGTAATATTTCATTGATCTACCTGCATCGTATACCTTTTTCCGACGTATGGCATATGAAGTGGCGTGATGATTTCATGCTTTGTAAATAATAATTCTGACAACGCCCTAAGAGGAAATGATATAAAGATGTGTAAAATCAAATGATTTTATCAATTACATAGTATTATAATAATTTACCTTTCTACAATCGTAGCAGCTAATCGTTCAGCGTAAAATATGAAATCATCACGTTTTGTGTTTCTATCTCTTATAATAGTATGGATCCCCTAAGAAAACAAGATTTATTTTATTTTATTTTTTTTTTTTTAAAAAAAAAAAAAAAAAAGCAGTTAAATAAGATTAAATATTATAACGGAATCTACTTTAAGCTGAGTGGTTTGTTCCAAAACAGTAACTTTCTTCGGTATTTCTTTATAATCACAATCGAACTTTAAAAGATCCCATCGAAAATTGAATTGACGTTCATTCAATTGACGTTGTATATGTTTGGTGATTAAATCGATGGCAACTAAATTATCAAGACCACGTGGAATTATCTGTAAAAATAGAATGATCAAAATACGAGATATATATGATACGATAGTGACGTTATAATCCTATGCATACCACGTCCGCATTCTTGACGGTAGGTTGTATGTATTGATCAAAAGAGGGCTTTACGAACTTTTGATATTGCTGACATCAAATGATATTTTAGATGACGAAATCAAAAACTTTCAATTGATAACTAAATTGTATAATTAAACGAATATGTACCTGTATTACACCATTAAAATCACGTCCTCGTTCATTAATATCTCGTTTTACTAAAATTGACATTTTTCCGAGTTTTAAAATTTTTCATTCCTAAAATCACATCTTAATGATTTAGGTCATGACTTACATCGACGAATAAGCCGAATATCTGAATCCGTGTCAACGAATATCTAAAAATAAAATAAATAAAATAATTGAATCTTGAATATTGATAATATGCCAAAATTTTCAAAATTTAAAGGAATAAGATTTTTCAAAAGCCAATTGATTTAATTGATGTGGAGGTGAAATGAATGATGAGTAACAATTAATTAGACTACCTCCTCCCATTCCCTCATAACTCATTAAATCTGAACTCTCAAAATAAAAGTTTGTAATCGTGAAATATTCTATTTAATTTAATTTAGTTAATAAAATTCATACTTTAAGGTCCATCAGATCTAAAATTCTTCGATCATATAGTGCAAAAATTCCTTCAAAGATGATAACATTAGCACCATATAACGAGCTTGTTTGTGGAAGTCTATAAAAGATAACATTAATGTTAATAAAATATCTTGGATAAAATGAAGGAACCATGAATAAAATACCTAGCATGCGTCACAAAATCATAAATTGGGATTTCGACTTTCTTTCTAAAATTTTTAGAGTTATTGCATGTAAATGATTAAACATCAATTATAATGAAACCTCACTACTTACCCCCCTTTCATATTCTTCAATGTATCAAACAATAAATCAAAATCAAAAGCATTCGGATGATCGAAATTGAAGTTACTAATAATTGAACAAAAATTCCGTTAATACGTTCAATATAGAAAATTAAATTCAAAACAAAACAAAACAAAACTTACTTATTATGTGCTTCGATTTTATCTACGGGGTTTAACACTTTATAGAACGAATCCATACTTAAAAGTCCTACCCATGGTACGTTAAGATTTTCTATGATACGTCTACATATGAAGATTAATTTAAATGAGAGGATAAAGAATAATTTTTTAAATTGATGCCGAAACTTACACAGAGACACTAGTTTTTCCACTTGCACTACCACCTAATGAATTGTAAGTCGATATTATTCGAATTAAGACATATTTTGATCAATTAAAATCAATTAAATTATTCAATTAAATTTCCTGCAACTCCGATAAGATAACAATCGAATTTCGACCCATCCAATCTTATTCATAGATAATATTTGAATTAGTAATCACAACTATCAACTCCTTTACATAAACTTGTGTCACGTTAGCCTTACCTATACCAAGGCCTAATGTGACAAATTATAAAAAAAATTTAAAAAAGTCTTATACAGGAATAAGCCTCCGGAATTAATTTTAATAAGAAAAATTTTAATAATTACGATCTTCCTTCGCCTCGCAAAAATGAAATCGGTTTTGTCATTATTATTTATTCAATTTTACTGTCAATCTGATAATCAATTTTCTGCACTGCATAATGCACATTAATATTTTTCCGTCGGTGCCACAAATATCATGTGTAACTTATTAATTCAATTATTCAGCAATAAACTCTCGAAAGTTTATTCAACTTATTCCGGACAAAAAAAAATATTTCTTTTATAGGGAATTACTTTCTTTTTCAATGGATAAACCATAAAATCGATAATCAATTTAAAATAATTTAACCATAATAATTACTAATCATTTTTTTTTTAGAACATTCTAGGACATCAGATAATATAAATATCAAAGGAAAAAAAAAAAAAATTAATAATAATAAATTATAATGGGATTATTATCATTTGGAACACCGTTGAGATGGGAGGAAGCGAAAGTTTACGCGGATCATGTTCGTTTTCATGGTATAAAGCATTTTTCATCTATTTATCATAAACTGGAAAATAAACAAAAGGATTGTTTATTATGGGGTGATGAGGTAAACATTTAACATGCACATTTCTTTCTGTATCTAAATATATTTATCTTGCCTAATACGATTTGATTGATTTGATTCGATAGGTTGAATATATGGTAGTTACATTCGATGACGAAAATAAGAATGCAAAGTTATCCTTAAGAGTATTTGAAATTTTAAATGAATTACAAAAAGAGGAAGAAGCGGCAATGCAAAACCGGTAAAATAAAAAATAAAGTTTTTTTTATATATATTAAGGTTATGACGATTTCCTATTTATGATCCTATTATATATTTAAATCCTGCTAGTGAATTGATTGGAACTTCATGGAAACCAGAATTTGGAAGATACATGCTTGAGGGTACACCCGGATTTCCCTATGGAGGAACATTAAAGGACATACTCCAAGTTGAGCCAAACATGAAGTTTCGTAGACAACTTGCCGCCAAATATATGAAACCAAATGAAGTTCCGATTACTATAGCAAGCTTTCCGAGACTTGGTTGTCAAGGTCAATTCCTGGAACCTCATTATGAACCAAGGGGTGAAGCTTCAAGAAGCTTGTTTGTACCTGACGAAGTAATTAATCCACATGCTAGGTTCCCGTAAGTTGTAAATCCTTTATCTATTATCATCGCATCATAATAATTTAAAATTTCAATTAATTAATTTTGTTAATAAATTAGAACATTAGCTGCTAATATCCGAAAACGTAGAGGATCAAAAGTTGCAATTAATATGCCAATTTTTCATGATATAAAAACTCCAAAACCTTTCATCGATCCGACAATCCCGAAAGATCGTAATTTATTTCCTGAAGACAAAGAAGCCGCCGAAGGTGCAGCGTTGCCTGATCATATTTATATGGACGCGATGGTTTTTGGAATGGGTTGTTGTTGTCTTCAGATTACTTTTCAAGCTTGTAATATTGAAGAAGCGAGAAGACTTTATGATCAGTTGGCGAATATGGGTCCTATAATGGTAAAATAAAATCCCCATTGATCAATGTTACACTAAAATTTCGATAATAATTTATCTTAGTTTTTTGTAGTTAGCTTTAACAGCTGCTGCCCCGATTTATAGAGGGTATCTTGCAGATGTGGATTGTAGATGGAATGTCATAGCAGGAAGTGTGGATGATCGTACTAAAGAAGAACGCGGTCTAGAGGTTTTTTTAATCTTTTGTAATTCTTTTAAGAAAAAAATATAAACTTCAAAAAATTATGTACATTAGGTATTTCCTTTGAATTATATTATGTATCATACTCTTTCTTTTTTCTTTTTAGCCTCTTAAAAACGATCGTTTCGTAATTAATAAATCTCGTTATGATTCGATCGATTGTTATATTTCTACGGATAAGACATTAAAACCCGAATACAATGATTTGGATTTAGTGTACGATAAAGATATTTGTAAAAGATTGATGGATGATGGTTAGTTTTATTATTATTTTTTAATTATTTTTTTCCGGCTTTATAAAATATTTATTTAGTGTATTCGTCATGTTTTGTTGTTAGGAATTGATGAACTTTTAGCTCGTCATGTTGCCCATTTGTTTATCAGAGATCCTTTAGTTATTTTTAAAGAATTGGTGGATCAAAATGATGATTCTGATCATTTTGAGGTATTTTTGTCTTTTCTTCGCTTCGTTTGATTTTTTACTTCTATTTTCCCATCCATCCAAATTTTTTTTTATTCATATAATTATTTCTTTAAAATTTATCTAGAACATTCAATCAACAAATTGGCAAACGATGAGATTTAAACCACCACCACCTAATTCCAACATAGGTTGGAGGGTAGAATTTCGCAGTATGGAAATTCAAATCACAGATTTCGAGAATGCCGCATTTGCAGTTTTTATTGTATTGTTAACTAGAGTAATTTTAAGTTATGGGTTAAACTTTTATATACCCATTTCAAAGGTACTTTACGGCATTTATTTTTATTATAATTTATTTTTTTTACTACGGTATAACAGAATATCATTTTTTTTAGGTTGATGAGAATATGATGATAGCCCATAAAAGGGATGCAGTATTAAATGAAAAATTTTGGTTTAGGAAAAATTTGTTTGAGAATGAGGGCAATAATGGTATTAATGGGGAGTCTTTGAATACAGGTTTGTAAATTTTGGGATACGAATTTTATTGAATCAATATTAATTACATAATTCATTGATACCAGATGGATCATGTGAGGAACATCACACGAATACGCAACCACCGAATGGGGATACATCAACTTCCATCGAAGATGAATATGAACAAATGAGTATCAACGAGATTATTAATGGAAATGTATGTAAAAAAAAAAATTTTTTTTAATATGATACCGTTAATTCTAAATTTACAGCTCAAGAATTTTTTCTTTAAAAAAAAAAATTTACCATTATAGGGCGATAAATTTCCAGGATTGATTACTTTAATATTTCGTTATCTTGATTCAGTTAACATTGATATTGAATCAAGATGTAAGTTGGGAAAATATTTGGAATTTGTTAGTAAAAAAGCAGGAGGTAATATCAAAAATTATTTGTCTGCTATTTAATATTAATATTTTCTATTTAGTAAATGTGATATTGAATGATTTAACTTGATACTACTATTAGGAAAATTACAAACCACGGCAAGGTGGATTCGTGAATTTGTTAGATCCCATCCCAAATATCAACAAGATTCTGTTGTTACACAAGAAATCAATTATGATTTAATGAAAATGATTGATAAGGTTCAAAAAGGTGAAGAAAATGCTCCTGAATTATTGGGAGGTTTCGGAACTAATTCATAATATAATTTGTTTTCTTGTCGTATAATGTTGGCAATAAATAAATGATAGCGCTTTATATTTATGATTATTTTGTTCTCTGTTATTAGTCTGCGTAATAAAATTGTTTCTAAGGTGGATAATAATGTATATATCATTTTGATTAAATTTGTCAAATATAAAGTTTTAATAATTCTTATAGATTTTCTCCTTGACTCTCTTTCTGAATTCTACTAATGTAAGATTTAGATACAATGTTCCATGCATCCATATAACGATCCATACATTTGGCAAGACAGGTCTAAATCAAATAAGCAGATCAGTAAATAATCAAACGTAATCGGTTAATACGTGTCTTTTCATTACCTGTTCACTTTTGTCTAGCAAATATCCTGGTTTCGTTACACATTTAGAGAAACATTTTTCATTGATTTTCTATATTTGCAAAGGTACAATATTTTTGGTGAGTCGCGCGAAAAAAAAAAAAAAAATGAATCACAAATGTTTTCGCGTACGTTAATAAGCTCTTGTGCGTTAGCTAATGCTAATTCGTTTCTCACTTGGTCCATGACGGCCTGTTTCTTATTACTCCTGTTTATATTAAAATTTCAAAGAAAGGTTAAAATAGATGCAAAAGATTTATAAATTGTAATCCAACCACATACATGGTAGAGGTTGAGCTATAATCATTAGAGAAATTCATTCTTGTTTAAGTAATAAGTTAAAGAAAAACGAAATGGAATTCAAAAAAAAAAATTTCTCAGATAATCTATACCAATTTGTGACGTAATACTCTGCATCTTGAAATCAAAATATAAAAAGGCACTAACTTTTTTAGTTTCGGAATTTTCTTTAATAAAATAAAATGTCTGCTTCAACTTCAACAAGTGCTTCTGCTACGACTCAACCTCAACCTCAACCTCAACCCCAACCCCAGCCTCAAAAACAACCTACTGTGTTATTATGTATTGGCATGGCAGGTTCAGGCAAAACCACTTTTATGCAGGTAAATACCTTTTGTAAAAAGACAAACAATTCCTTTATGTATGGCATTCGAAAACTTACTTTACTCTTTTGTAGCGAATAAATGCTCACCTTCATAGTATAAAAAAACCTCCATATGTTATAAACCTTGACCCTGCAGTCACTCATCTTCCTTTCACAGCAAATATTGATATCCGGGATACTATTAATTATAAAGAAGTAATGAAACAGTAAACTATCATATTTCGATCTATCTGATGTTGACTGATTTCTATCAATAAGACCTTTTCAAATTAATATTTTAAATTATAGATATAATTTAGGTCCAAATGGTGGTATTCTCACTAGTTTAAACTTATTTACGACAAAATTTGATCAAGTGCTTGATTTTGTCTCGAAGCGTGCACCTACATTAGAGTAATAATCAAATTTTTTTTTTTATTACATAATTTATTTAATCATGCTCTTAACACAAGGATCTTTAATTATACAGTTATATTATCTTGGATACGCCTGGTCAAATCGAGATATTTACATGGTCAGCATCAGGAGCAATCATTACAGACGCGTTAGCAGCGACGTATCCTTGTGCAGTTGCTTATATTATAGATACACCAAGAACAACAAGTCCGTCAACATTTATGAGTAATATGTTGTATGCTTGCAGGTGAAGTATTTTCTTAGAAATTGTTTATATAATATTATATTGTGTCTTTTTTTTTTTTGTTAAAAGTTATTCCGATATTGATAGGAAGAATATAAAATTGATATTGGTTTAGTATCTTATATAAAACCAAATTACCATTTATATTGGTTTTTAATAAGACTGATGTTGTTTCTCACGAATTTGCTGTTGAATGGATGACGGATTTTGAATGTTTTCAACAAGCTTTGCAAAACGATACGAGTTATATGAGCAGTCTTATGAATTCTATGTGTCTAGTATTGGAAGAATTTTATCAACATTTAAAGGTATTTCTTATAATGATGATAAGAATTTTTTTTTTTTTAAAGAAAAAAAAAGTTTATTATTTTATTACGCGAAAAAGGTGGTTGGAGTTTCGGCCATTACTGGCGCTGGAATGGACGAATTTTTTGAAGCAGTTGATGAAGCTTCCAAGGAATACGAAACGTAAGTTATAATTTTCGTTCTTGATTTTTAAAGAAATTAAAATTTTTAAAGTTGACACAAATTTATTTACAGCGTATATAAACCCGAATTAGAAAAATTGATTCGAGAGAAGGTATATATACACACATTTATTAGATCTTAAACAAGTCGCAAATAATTAATATAGTTGGAAATATGTAAGGCTGAACGACAAGAAGCCGCAAAACAGGCACAAATTACAAAATTAATGAGAGACATGGACATGTCTGATGCTCCTAAAACAGGTAACGATGAAAACTTATTATTATTAAATTTTTTATTATAGCTTCGCTTTTTTACTCATGTATAAAACTTAATTTGTTGAAGATCAAATGATTGAAGAGGAAGAAGAAGCGGAGGAAGATGAATATGATGGAGAACATGGTTATGACGAAGGTAATAAATTTACAAACCATTTAATCATATATAGCTATAATGAGAATTTTCCTGATACATTTTATTTAAATAAATTAGATGCCGACTATGAAGCTATGAGAAAACATCAAGAACAACTCGATGAACAAAGCTTTGGTCGATGGTTGAAACAAGCACGAGAAGGTGGTGGTGGGGGTGTTGAATAACTTGTAATCATACGGTTTTAACTTCAATTGTAGTTTTAGTTAATGGATCTGTTTAAATATATTTTTTTTATCTCCACCTACATTGTGCGGGCAGATGTCAAAATGTGTCAAATTTTTGTTTTCACGTAAAAACCACGATCGTCAAATGAATTGACGCTAATAAAAACACATGATTTAACAGATCTACAATATCTACATTCATTATCTGATCCGAAATTTTTTTTTTCCCCTTGTCGAATATGACGCGACAAAATTTTATTGGAATGGTTATAAGCACAGCAATGCAAAAAACTGTTAAAGTTAGAGTACAAAGACACTTTATGCATCCCAAAATACAAAAAGTTGGTGCCTTTTCGAAATCAATGTCATTTCTTTAAATATTTGATAAAGTTGATAAAATTTTTTTTAATAGAATATAACGAGACACAAGAATTTCTTGGCACATGATGAAAATCAACTTTGTTCGTTAGGAGATATAGTAAGAATCGAAGCTTGTAGACCATTAAGTAAAATGAAAAGTTTTATAGTTGCTGAAATAATGAGGTTAATTATTACAATAATTAATTAATGTGATAAAAGTAAAAATTTACTAATTTGACGATTTCGTAATATTTAATATAGTCCTGCAAAGACTTGGGTTGACCCCGAAACTAAGGAAGTTAAACGATAACTTTATCTCGATCTCCCTTTTTTTAAATTAAGATCATTTTTTTTTTATTGTAATATTAAGCATACAAATTCAAATATGAAAAATATATTTGGTTCATTTAATAGTGAAATTATCATTTCCAATGGGCGGCGGCTTCGTCATATCTGTTGTAACGTAATAGTTGCCATTGAATAAATTCCAGTTGAGAACAATTTTTAAATAGTTGATTTGTATCTTCTTGTAATAAAAGTTCAATAGGGAAGGAAGAAAATCTAATTGAAAAATAACGAATGTTTTTCGATTTCGGGATTATTTCCAATACCTCCTGAGAATATAATAAATATATATATAAATATATAAAAAAAACGGATGTGATCAAAAATTTAAGGAAAAAAAAAAAACCTACTAATTTTGAAAGTCCTTGAACACCAAATAATTCTAATTTAGTCAATGGATCTATACCTTTGCAAATGATTTCAAGAATAAGCTTATTTAACGGAATGTCTATCAACGTTAATTCCTTTAATTCATGACGTGATTTCTTTTCATCATCATCATCATCATCATCCTTCTTGAAATAATCGATAATTTTACCAAGTTCCACATTACATAATTGAACATTTATTGATCGTTCATCTGCTACAATTTTGGATTCCAAGTACCTATCAACACATTGTATGGATAATACTTTAAAATTTCTAAAATGTTTAAAAGTTTCAATAGCGAAATCGGTCGTAATATCTGATACATTTGCCACGGTAACGTTGGTTAACTTTGGGCATGATTTATAAATACTCAATAGGAAGGATTCTGATATGCTGATGCATCGATGAATGTTTAAAGATGTTAAATTAGGACAATTTGATAAACATGGTAATAAGATTTCATCCTCATAATATTTCTCCACGAGATCTAACCTCGTTAACCTTTTACAATTCTTTGTGATATCAAGTAAAACTTTTGAATCACAAGCTATATCTTTCTTTAAATTTAATTCTTCCAACATTAAACAATAATTTGCTATCGCTCCTAAAGCTTTGACATCATTTATCTCGATTTCATTAAATTTAAATAATCTTAATTCCGGTAACCTCTTTGATATATCATAAAATTGAACTTCATTTAACTTGCAGTTCCCCAGTGAAAATTGTTCAATCCTAGGGCAACAATCCAAGGTTTCTAATAATTTGTCGTGTTGAATATTTAACTTTTCTAAATCCAACACTTTAACGTATCTACCATATTGATGAATACTTTTCTTATCCGCGTTCTCTATTGGATCATTGTAATATAAATTTGATTGTTGTAAAATCTTCAAAAATTTCATGAATGATTTCGTTTTATGATCATTCTTCAATCCTTGAAATCTATACCATAACCTTTCGGTTGCTAATTTATTCCACCATCGATTTACCAAACAAAATGGAAGGATATCTCTTTGTAATGCTACATGAGAAAATATGTTTTCTAAGATTAATGAAATTGAAAATGCTTGATGAGATATTAACATTGAATTTGCTTTTGGGATTAAATTCATACTAATCGTGTGCAAATTGGAAAAGAAAAGAAAAAAAAAATGGATAAATGTGAAGGAAAAAAAGAAAAATTTTGATAAAAAAAAACGAATCATACAATGTATTTATGTATTTTTTTTTTATTTTTCGGAGTTTTTTAACTTGAAATTATCGAGATTACCAATAATGGTAAGATCTAATGCGTTGAATAATTCAATAGGATTTTTCCATAGAGAACGGAAAAATTAAGCATTATGATATGGAATTATTAATCATATCCGATGGGCTATCATTTAGGCCGAATCCGAGAATGCACGTGATTAATTATCTAACTCTCATCTTTTTATTATTTTAATAATTACGATTTATTTTTTTTATTTATTTAAATAAAAAAAAAAATATAATATCGGTACAAGTTTTTTTAAAGAAAAAATAAAAAAGCTCGAAAGAGAATAATTAATAAGAAAATATTGATTCATCTACTTGAGTTTCTTCTTTGGACGTAATTGATTAGTATGACCACACTAAATAAATAATAAAAAAGAATTTGAATTAATTTCGAATATACCGTGTAAGTATTTTAACTCGCTTTAAAAGGAAGATACCTTTTTCTTACGGCAGTTGGTAGCACGTGGAGGTAATCTCGCATAACATTTACGACAAATCATTTTTTCGCAATTATACTTTGAAGCCAAAGCTTTCAACGAAGGTTCAATAATCCCACCACGTAAACGTAATACTAGATGAAGTGTTGATTCCTTTTGAATATTGTAATCTGCTAATGTACGATTATCCTCGAGCTATTTCATTAAAAAAAAAAAAAAAAAAAATTAAAAAAAAAACAAAATGAAGATTGGTTAAAAAGAAACAATGATTATAAAAAATTGACTCGTCTCTTTAATGACCTGTTTGCCGGCAAAAATCAAACGTTGCTGATCCGGAGGGATACCTTCTTTATCCTGAATCTTTTGCTTAACATTAGCAATATTATCCGTACTATACAATCAACAATCAAAAATTAATTAATTCATTAATTATAATGATTGATTTTTTAAAAATTTAGATTTATTCTTTATACCCTTCAACCTCAAGGGTGATGGTTTTTCCAGTAAGAGTTTTAACAAAGATCTGCATTTTCGGCTAGTAAAAAAAAAAAAAATGATTTGATCAGTGAAAGATTATTTTGGTTGTAGAAAGATCTTTCATAACACGCTTTGGTTATTTTAGCTTCACAAAACTTGCTATCTTTTAAAACTTAAGAGCATTTTTTCCCCTCTACATAATAATCAGGAACTTTGTAATACCTTTGCTAGTTATGTTCAAAACGAAAACGAAATAAAGTCGAATGATCAGGGAAAAAAAAAAAATTTTTAATTATTACACTTGGAGTTCGTGTAACATTTATATTAAACACGTGTAATCATGTGATAATGTGAATACCAACCTATATTATTTTTATTAAAATTTACGTGTCTATAATCTTTTTTAATGTTCAACTCTATTCATTTTATAAATTCATTAAAATTGAACATTTAATTCATCGTTAATTTGCGTTTTCAACATATATACATACATATATATTAGTTGGGAAAGTACCATTTTTTCTTATATATATTGGAAAAATTAATTTTTAACCAAAAAAAAAATAGGGAGGCAAAAAAAATAATAGATATATTGATATTACAGTTTTAGAGACTATACACGAGTATGATGATGATGATGATGATGATTATGATGATGATGGTAGTGGTGATGATGATTATTATTATAATTCGGAAGAAGAGGTCTTCTTTTCCCAAATTTTTTTGATAACCAACTTAAACCATTACCATCTCTCATTCTCTCCAACTCATTAATAGCTCTATCAACGCCTATAACATTTGACCTTTGTTGAATCTCTTTTATGAGTTTTTTACGTAAAAGCAAAGTCTCCTTATTCTCGTTTGCCCATTTTGTTCCATAAGTTTCTAGTAAAGCAATTATCGATGGATTTCCACTCAAACCCACATTCCATTCATTCCACACATCATAAACAGTACCTAAAGTGTCTAATTCAGGTAAGTAATAATAATTTGGTCTAGAAATAATGCTCGAGTGTATGATTGGAGAATTGCTCATTGGAGAATGACTCGATCGATTCATTAAGCAACTCGTGTCCGATCCAACAGTGTTAGAATCAACAAAAGAGGAATCCAGAACTGGACTTGAACTTGTGCCAACTGAATTAATGGTTGATGTGCTTGGGGATCTCACCATATTAATAGCATTAGTGGTATTGCTAATGTTACTACTATTTAGGTGATCACTAATGCCTAAATTAGATGTACCACTGCTAATTCGTGGATCTATTAAAGGCTCACCATAATCTGCCAAATGCTCTTGTTGAATTCTACCGTCGATGGGTTCGTTAACTGTATGAACCGTATTAACTGAATTAACTGTATTATACGTATTTACTGTGTCAACTGTATTAATGATATCAACCGTGTTAACCGTATTTACCGTATCAGCCGTATCAGTTGTGTTAGCCGTATCAGCCGTATTAGCCGTATTGGCTGTATGAACAACGATCTCAGTATCAGTTGGATCGTTATTATTGTTAATAACGCCATCAGCATCAATTGGTGGACATCTATCTACATGAGGAGATAATTCCCTTGTTTCCACCATCAATGTTGTAGGATCAGAAGATATTGTATTACTGGAGACTGGAGAAATGTCAGTTGTAACCGTCGTTGTTGTGGTTGAATGATTGTTTGCATCCGTATGTGTGATTGTTGTCATTTTAATTGTAATAATTGTACTTGTGGTGGTCGTAGATGATCCTGGTTCGCAATTACCTGATAATACATTATTATTAGGTGGAGGTCGATCTTGTTGCATGGATGGGAAAAGTACTTCTGGGAGTGCAAATTGTGGTTCTTGTATGCTACTATTTCTGGTGGGAATAGAATCTAAATCTATAATTCCCCTTCGAGTTGGAGGTCTACCTCGAGGTCTAGTTGCTGGAAGCTTGTTATGCCGTAATTCGTTATATGTTTTATTACGAGTTATCTTTCCCATACTCATTCTTTTGCCTAAAGAATATTTATATATCAAAATCTATTTATTTTATTAATGAGTACGCGTAAAACTAATAAAAATTACCTTGGCAACTTGTCTAGGGCAAAATGTGTAAGTGAATCAACTATCAACCACAACAAAAAGAATGTAAGATATAAACTATAAATGTTTGAATACAACTTGAAAATAACTCCATTTCATATCTTACTTGTATCAACGTGGATAATAAACAAATTGGGTCCTATATAGCGGTTACACAACTGCGTAGTGGCTTATAATCCCTTCTTTTTTTTCATTTTTTGTAAATATGATTGGTCCAAAAATCATTTATTCAAAAAAAAGAAATCCATGTAAAAAAATTTAACGAAAAATTTATGTTTTTTGAGGACGAAATCAAATTTGTTTTATGAATTTAACAACATAAAGCAAGCTGTTATAAAATTT